AAAAAGAGTTAATTTCTTTTTTATTGCCTCAGGATTCCAGGTTTAATGTAGCTGTCAGTGCGAGCGCAGCCCAGCTGCACGCCAACGGGATGCAGCCATGCACAAGTGCAGGCTGAGATGTGTGGCCAGGGCTCCAGTGGGGACAACCCTCACTTAGGATGATGCCCATAGGGCCGTGGGGGGGGCACGTGGAGATGCACACCGAGGCCCAGAGCCCAAAGTGGGGCCCTCACACCCGCCACCATCTTGGCTGGGGGAGCGGGCTGCCTGGTGATTAATATCAAGTACAATGACCCCATGTTACAAGCCTGCGGGGGCCTGTGGAGGTGGCCATTTCCTGTGTAATACCAGCTTGTTTAAACACTAACAGTCAAACTCCACAGCTGCAGAACAAACCCGGAAAGAGAGGAGCAAAAGAAGCCCTGCATTGTGTTCCCGAGGCCCGCGCTGCCGTGCAGATGGCAAACGGTGTGGGCTGGGGGATGAGGGGCCACGAGCCCGCTGCCAGGAGCCCCCCAGCACCACACACAGCCCACGTCCTGCTCCCAGCTTCCCTCCTTCGCACCCTGCCTCACCGGGCTCAAGGCAAGCAACAAAAAGGGAGCTGAGATGGGAGCCCTTCCCCACGCTCGCCCTGCTCAGTGGAGACAACCCTGGGGTCAGAGCGGGACAGTCCTTCAACAGCTCTGCCCCTTGGCATCACTGATTTTTCCCTGCTCTGCCCTACATGTGGTCCCTCTGGTCACCCGGGTGCCACCATACTCCTCCCTGAGGTGTGTGGCTGCTCCCAGCCCCTGCACTAACACACAGCCTATCTCTTTGGCTCCTGTTCCACCCAGCTCTACCTTCACTCTCAGCCAGCTTCACACCACCGAGACTCCTCCGAATCCTCACTTTGATGTCTTGATAGGGAAATTCTGGTGGACAGCATTACTATCGAGGCTGAAATCTGCAAAAGGGATTTTCCGTTTCGTCTCCAGTAAACTCTTGACACCCCTGCCCAAGACTCTGTCCATCCCTCCCAGTGGGGGCTGCCATCTCAGTGACGCTTCTCTGCAAGACCGATGTGATGAGAGAGATCTGGCAGATCTCTCTGGGAAGGTAAGCTCCAGAATGTGCTCAGAGCTTTTGGATTCAATTTAATACTTGGTTTAAATTAACCATTTTTAAATGCTTGCAGACAGTCTCTGCAAACTGAGAGGCCCTTCACTGCAGCGTGGAAGGAGAACAGATTCTCCAGGGTCAGCCCAGTGGCAGATAAGTCTTGTCCAGCCATTGGCTTCCCTATCAACTCTTGCATTGCTATAAGCAATGGATTCACTGCAGCAATAAAACAGAGCACAGAGAAGCTTTCTTTTCCTAACTCAGCTCTTCAGCCCGAAAGGAGACACATTCACCCCAACAGCAGCAGCTCCCTGGAGGCTCACCTTCCACTCATCTCTGCCTTAGGAAATGTCCTGCTCCCCTAGGCTTTGCTGTCACCCCATCTGTGCAAGGCTCTCCTGAGGACAGCCAGTTTGAGATGCTACCAGCCAAGGGCTATGGCACACACTGCTCCAACTCCTCCTGTTCCACCCTCAGTGCAATGTTTGCCATGAGTCACGTGTGTTTTAAGACACTGAAGTGAGAGCTGTGAGCAGCCAGAAGACCTGGGAACACCTCCACTCATGTAGTCTGGTCCGGAGCAACCATCCCTGAGGCAGAGATGTCCACAGTTGGGTTCAGCTCCCATCCTGGAAAACCCAAAGAAAAGAGGAACCATGCAAAACGTGCTGAGTCCCTCCTCTCCCAGAGAGGTAGGGGGAATGAACAGCCCTACCTCTCAAATACACTCAAGATCTCAATTTTGGTCTTTTAAAAACAACTCTCAACACATCCTTTGAGTCACACCTGGGTGTGATCACTTGGGTTCACGTGATAGAGCAAGGAGAGCTTTTGGGGAAAGATTTTCCCTCTTGGCTGCTGGTGCCCAGCTTGGGAGGAGATGCTTGCCCAGAGCCAGCTCCATCCCCACATCCCTGCCAGGACACAGACCCACAAATGGAGCCTTCCAAAATTCCCCTCCTGCCCTGCGAAGCCCACGTGGCTCTGCGCTGCATGCAGCGCTCACCCCTCGCACCTTTCCCTCCGTCTGTCCAACAGGGAAAGCAGCAAGCAGAGGAATTTGGTGTGTTTTTTTTTTATTGTATGGACTCAAATCCAGCAGTGTGATAAATGCATCCGAGCTACAATTAGGAAGATATATAGCATCAGAATGCGAAGGTCTGGGCAGCGTGGTGAAACGCGGGCTCTCCAGAGCCCCAGCTATGTTTCCCATTATGTAACCCTGGTCATGGGCAGACAGCCAGACTCCAAATGAAAAAGAGACTCTGGCTTGGCACCGTTTCTATTTTCCTATCCTCATTCGGGGTCAGCGCAGTGTCATACAGCTGCAGAGAAAGCTCCGGGGATTAAACCTGGGAAAGACTCCAAGACCAGGACCTGGGTTCAAGTACCAGCTGAAAGCAATAAACCAACTGCCACAGCTGGGCTGAGTTTAGACGTTCTCAAAGTCCCCCAGCTCTCTCACTTACTAAGAACCAGCAATCACGAACATGGCGAACGCAGCACGAGTGGAGGCCTCGGGATGTAGAGCCCCAGCAGCCCAGGCCCTCGGCTCTGGTGGAGGCTTGACAAGCTGCCCTACTGGCCCTGAGCCCAGGCCATCATTCTGGCAGCAGTGCTGGCCCCGGATGAGCTGCACTTTGATGCAAGTTCTAAGCCAGGCCTTTTGCTCCTGGTGGGCTGCCAGGTGGGTATGGGGCCTGTTTTTTTCCAGAAACATTTGCACATCTGTGGCATCCTTGCAGGGTGCTCCTATGCTTTAGGGTTTTTTTTGTTGTCCCCTTCCTGAGTCATGGCATCAGGGTGCTGGGAGGCGGTCTCAGTATGTTCCCAAAGCTTCTCCATTGGCACTGCTGAAGGGACAGAGCCTGCTAAGGGGACCTGGTGGCACGTCCCACTGCCAAAAGGCACAGAGCACACATGCAACAGCCCAGCAGGCCCCTGCTCAGAGTTCTGCAACTTGGCATCTGTGTGCGCTCCTTTCATGCTCTCCCTGCTTCTGAGCTCACCCTGCCCACAAACCTTGGCTTCCTCCAGCGCGCCTGCTGCTCTGACCCATGTTTTACTTCTGAGCTCCTTTGAAGCCGTTCCTATCCAAACCCCCAGACTTGGTGACTCTACCTGGTTACTGAGCAGCCCCAGGCGAGGCAGCATGCTTCTGTCAATAGAGAGCTGAAACTCTAAACGAGTGCTTCCCTCTTCCTTTCCTACCTCTGGGGAAAACGTTGCAAGTCCCAGGTCATGCCCAGGAGCAGAGCTGGTTCCCTGCAGCTCCAGGGAGGCTCAGCTTCTCCCGGACCACCAACACTTGGGTACACAACGCTGGGTCAGCATAAAGCTCTGGGCTGAGAAAGCAGCAAATCCCCTTGCCATGGGCAGGGCTAGGGGACCAAAGAGGCGGAGGGAGCCCTTAAGAAGGCAGTCCATACCCTAACAGAGACTCAGAGACGGGATGAGAAGGGTAGCTCAGCCACCTCCACACAAGATGGGCAAGCAGCATGACAAAGACCCTCTCTCCGTTGGGCAACCCAAGACCTGACAGAGCAGAGCCCATCGCCTTGTCAGGCAACTGGGAACCTGCACCTGCTCCAGTACCCCAGGGGGACGCAGCAGACCTGCGCCCACACCACAGCCCTCACCCACAGCAGGGGAGGCAGCTCATCCCTGGAAGGCGCCAAGCGCCGGCTGCGTGAGCCCGATCAGAAATTCCATCTCGAGGCTGCCCGTCGCCAAGGGCTCGGCGGCTCTCTGCGCAGTGGAAGGGGGGATTGGTGCAAACAGGCGCACGTGACAGATCCCAGTTTGAGTTCCTGCCCAAAGATGGGCAGCGGTTCACATGAGCAGGCAACGGTCCCACACCGAGCAGCCGACAAACAGAAAACAGACTCCATCTCCACAAAATGAGGCCCAGAACTTCCTGTGTGAGATTTCCATTTCCTCAGCCAAATGAAAAAGAACTGGAGTAGAGGCAATAAACTAGGAGAGCAGGACTGGACCTGACGCACGGAGCGGGGACCCATTAATGGTTAAGCCACTTTGCTGGATTACTCTTAATGCGCCTTCCCATCACCCTGGGTTCTGGCTCCTTTGGATTAACAATAAGACGTGATTTCAGGCTCTGGATCCGGAGTACCGGAGGCAGATGGAAAATCCTGCGGGAAAGCAGCTACAGAGCATGCTCAGACACTGCTTCACATACTCCATACTTGGCCCTTTTACTTGATTTTCTGTCCAAAAATATGCAAATTGCCTAGTCCGCATTATGGACTAATGGGCTGGAATCGGCCAGTTTAGAAAATTAACCCTTTTTTGTGATGCGGGGGTAGAGGCAAACTGTGTCTGAAGCTGAAGGGAGGCGACTTTTGGAGCTCCGGGAACAGGCAAGCAGCTCCAGGCCAGCCCAGCCTGACCAAGGTTTGCCTGTTTCAGATAAAAAACAGGCAGTAAAATGCTCATGCTGCAAACAGACTTACCTCCTTCCAGAGAAGAAGGCTCTGTCTTTGAGCTGGTTGGGCTTGAAGGAGATGTATCCCAATAAAGCAGACACACACCCTAAGCACCAGGTAAAAATCCAGCTCTTGGCTCATCTCCTAATAGCCAGAAGCAAAGAGGCACATGCCAGAACCTTCAGAGCCCCCTCAGCCCTTAACACCCCCTGTATCCAAAGCTGGACACCTGTCACTGTGACACTCAAAGTGATGAGTCCCCACCAACTGTCCCCTGCACGCAGAGTGCCACGTCCAGGAACAAGTGTGAGTGAGGGGGAAAGGTGGCACGAGGAGTCCATGCAGGGAGGAGACACTACAAGACAGAGCAGAGGATGCACGTACTGTTTGGGGAGCTCAAGAGAAGTTGGTGGAGGATTCCAGGTGTCCGGGTGGCCAAGCATCCAGTCTGACCAGACCTTCACACTGGGGAGCAGCTCCTTCAGGTCCTGGGGCAAGGCAGAGACCTTGATGTCATCCTCCTCATCCTCCTGCTCCTCTTCTTGTGGCTGAACTACAAAGACAAGAGGAGCTCATTGAGCTAGGCTCATGCAGCCCCTCCGTCTCAGGTAGGGACAAGGAATGCACAACACAGACCCCAACATCCCAGCTTCGGAGGTGGAAGAGCAAAGGCAGAGCTTTTTCCTACATGGAGTGGTCTACGAAGCAAGCCAGGATGGGTCTGGTCCATCTATGAGGACAGCAAATGTCAGTATCACAGAGGCAGGATCCTGAGGTCCCTGGGATTTGGGATTTCCTAATATCTGGCAGAAAGCATGCCCTGCATCCATCCATTTCTTCCAAATATTTTTAGCAGTTTATAGTGCATTCATGCCAATGCAGAGCCTGGGATGCTGGAGAAGAAACCCAGGACCCCAGCAGAAAGGAAGGGGTGCACAAAAAAGCAAAGAATGAGGCCTCAGCCTCCCCCCCCCCAATGCTGCCCCAGGGGTGGGAGCACAGAGTCCTACTGGTGAGCCCTTACCTTGCATACATTCTCTCAGCAGATTGGTGCATCTCCTCACCAGGAGTGCAAACATGGAGAGCCCCAGGGCTGTAGCCTGTTCCTGGATGACAGAGCGGCAGTCCTCAGAGATGCACTCTATGAGAAAGAAAGAGATTTTAGTGGGGAGCAGCCAGATGATCCCTCTTTACTTCACCTACACAGCCTCCTTCTGTGCATCCCACGTAGCAGGGAATGGGTGATTCCTCACACCTGCTTTAGGCCCACTTGCTGCACATGTGGGGAGAAGCAGGTGGCTATGGGAGCAGGGTGAGGCTGCAGCCACACTGTCCTCATTACACCCAAAAATACCCCTCGTGCTGAGCCAGTGCTCGGGGCTCTCAGCACGGAAGCTGCTGCTTAGAGCTGATGCCTTCCCCTGAAGGAGGAGGGCATGTTTAAGTGCTAAAAGGGTAATTAGCTGCGTGTTTGATCTCTGTCCCTGCTGGAGTTTTAACCTCAGCAGCTGAGGAGGGGGCTCCTCCCATTTAGTTCAGCCGTCACACAACAGCTTGTCAAGAGAGCTTAATTGAAGCTGTTACTCAAGTAGATGCCACACGACCACAGCTCTTCCAAACAGAGCTGGCTCCGAGTGACAGCAAATCCCCTCGGCACATCTACACCCAGCCAGAAACCACTTCTGAGGCTGCAGTGAGCAGCGGGACGCTGGCTGCAGGGAGCTGCCTGGAGCCGGGCGTGGGTTGCATTTAGCACAGCCTGCGGCACTGCAGGCATGGCACCACGGGCATGGCAGGCTGCCCATGCTGGGGCAAAAGGAGATGCTGAGATTCACAGGCAGCCCCTGGCCCCAAATCCCCTCTGCCCCTGTTCCCCTCCAAAGGCCTCTGGTAGCCCAATGAGGGTGCTCTGCTCCTCGTGTTGGTGTCGCCGAGCGATGGTAGGAAGCGCCTGCCTGCAGGGTTGTCAGCTTTGGGAGGAAACATAAAACTAAAGATGTGACCACTCCGGGACAGTAAATCTCTTTCATGAAGCCTTTCCCACAATTAAGAGTGTTAGTCCCAGAGCTCTGGCCACAGTCCAGTTCAAGAAATTACAGTCGTCTTCACCACGCTCCCTCCTCCCGTCACTGGTTCAATGCTGGACTCCTCGCTTCCCATCCTACACAGGCACAGACTGAGGCCATCCCACTGTCACCTGAGCATTGCTGTGTCCCCAGGGCACAGTATGCTGAGTGGCAGCATCCCAGGACTGTGCAGGCACCCCAAACTGCTTTCCCCTATGGTTCCAGCTCATCCCATTATCAAATAAAACAAAACCCTGCAGCCCATACTCAGGTGCCTTGTGCCAAACTGCCTTCAGGTGCTGCTGATGACACCCAATCTGCTGCAGGTATCACCCACATCTTCTCCTAAAGCCCCAAATGAGGCTGCTCGTCTCACCACTGCACTGTGGGCACCAACAGCCCTCAGACCCCATTTTCCACTTGGCTCTGACTTGAACCATTGGATCTGCAGTTTCCATACCTCTCTCAGCCCAAATTCTTCTGGAATATTTTAGCCAAAACTGCTGGGCTACTTGTGAGAATGAGGGTAGGAAATAAGATAGTGCCTTACCCTTTTTAGAAAAAAAAAAAAAACCCTTACAACCTTTTCCTAGAGCTAATCTAGCAACTGCAAATCCTGGAAAGGGGATCTGAGGTTTTGCTACAGAATAACCTTTTTAGCAGAGAGTTTTCCTGACCTACTAGAAATCTGTCCATGCGTGGCCAAGCTATAAACATCTCAAATACAGCAGTTTTTCCATATTCAATAGGAATTCATTTCAGCAGCTAAAACCTTCTAAGATTTCAGCTCCCTGAGCATGCTCCATCTTCCACCCTGACACCTAACCTGCATTACGCTCAGCAGAGCAAACTGTTTCGATCCAATGCATGGGGACCTCCAAAGCCACGTCCTTGTCCTGCCCACTGCTGCTGGTTGTGAGGGCGGACCTTGCTGAGAGCCCAAGAGCACGAGGAAAGAGATGGGATGGGGTGAGATGGGATGGGAAAAAATAGGAGCTGATGAGCATCAGACTGCAAACACGGAGACTGAAACAAGGAACCACAGCTGGGCTGGCGGTTCTGAAGATCACAAAAGCACACTGAGCTGCAGAGCTGCAGAAGAGCCCTCCTGTTCCTCCGCATGTAGGACAGAGGTTTCTTTCTCCAGCACGAAGAGCAGGGGCAGTTTCCTTTGCAGCTCCATCTGCAAGCACCTACCTGGCTCCCGGATGCAACCCGTGCGTGAGCTGCCAGCTTTGTTCTGACTCAGGATCCGACTCAGGCTTTCTGCAGTCATAAATCTACCTGCTCTGCAGGGGAAGGGTGCGGGGAGAGCAAGGAGAGAGACGGAGAGCGCGGGGACTTTTGTAAAGGGGAGAAATTTGTGTTTCTCTGAGAACATTATATTCATGGAAAACATAAACCAACTGTCGTCAAAGTCGTCTGAGCTCAGGAAATGGAGCGGCCGGGAGAAGGCTGCCATGTGGCCGGATGTTATGTATTTCTAATTAGTGCTATACATCTTTCAGCAGCGAGTGTCCTTTTGCTGGGAAACACAACTCGCTGCCCTTGTTATTGTAACTGTCAGAGAGTGCTTAAACAGATAATCTCCAGGAAAAGTGATAAACACATCCCCTCTCCCACTAGGGTGTGCAAAACAGCAATGCCAAAGCTGTATTAGGGCAACACAACCAGGCACAGGAAATGGGAATGGGAAAAGAGCGGCGGTGCAGGGGATGGCCGTGGCTGGGGAAGGGGAGCTGCTGGAGGAAGCTGCTCACAGCCGCTCCAGTGCCATGTGCAGGAGGAAATCCTGCAAGAGCCACGTGGCCTCAGCTGCTGGAAGCGAGGGGCAAGGAGCTGCAGCAGCTCCCAGGCAGCACACGGTGTGTCTGCGCTCCTGCCTCCATCCCAGCTAGCACACAGCATGAGGAGTGGTGAATCCTGCATGGCTAAAACACAGGCTGCCACCAGGCGTTAGCAGAGGCTCAAAGGAGAGCAGGTCGCTTTGATTCAGGGAACTGGACTGCTCCAGCCAAGGGTCAGAAGGGCTCCAGCAAGATGCTTTCCATGTTGGCCTCCCCATCTTTATTACCCTGAGCTTTGCTCTGGGCTGGGAAGCCTGGAGTGGTGCCGACACAAGGATGGGGCTTTGCTCCGTGGGAGCAACAGCTGAACCCACCTTCCATGGTGATGCTCTAAGGACCGTAAGCAAAGGCAATTGAGCAAACAGCTCTCCAGGCACAGCCCTGAGGATGATACAGGCTGTGGGTGAGCCCTGCCTAAAGCTCGCTGGTGGATGTGTCAGCAGCTCAGCACAGACAGCTGACTCACCAGCCAGCTGCTGCCCTGTGGGGAAGGAGAGAGCCTGGTGACCACCATGCTGACACCACCTGAAGGCAATCTGGTTGCTCTCTTATCACTCGGCCCCACGAGTGTGAGTGTTTTTCCCATGAGTCACACTCTGCCAGACACACTGCTGGCAGCCCACCGGGATGGAGCTGGCTGCAGGAAGTGGGCAAGGACAGCAGCATTGCTGGGAACGGGACACAACCCAGCAGACACAACCCAGCAGAGCGGGGATGCTCAGGGCTGCGGGGCATTTCCCTGCCACCCCCTCGAAGAGGAGCAGTGAGTCATGGGCACTCCCAGATCTGGCTGGGAACAGCGAGTCACACACGCACTCATCTGCCCTCCAAGGAGCCTGGGAACCCACTCACACACTCATGGCTGATGCCCTGCAAAGAGCACCGGGCAGCTTTCCTGGAAGGATGCTCCCCGACCCCACATTTACAGGCAGCAGTGAGGACACGCAGCCCTGCAGCCAAGCAGACACCAGCACCTGCACGCAGAGCCCTCCCAGAGCCACTTCACATCATCCCATCTCCCTGCAGCAAGCTGTCCTACAGAGAGGCAGAAAGCCCCACAGGGGTCTCAGCCACAGGACCCAGACCCGCTGCACGCACTCCCAGAGCTGCCCAGGAGCCCACAGCTCCTTCTGCTCTGCACTGAAACCCCATCTTGTCCGAGGGAGGGAGGTGAGGAATGCTGGGGGCCTGGGGAGGATGGAGCAGCTCTCCCTGTGGAAGCCATTAGATATTCAACACTTCATTTGTTTCCAGCCATTCTGGACTGCAGCGCTGGGCTCGAGGACGGGAGGCTCTTCTCTGACGTAACCAGGAAGCAGCTGCAAAATTAAGGAATCCCTCATGACATCATAAAAAGGGTCGATGGTTTACAGGGGAAGGTATAAAAATTAATGACATATTCCCACCCCAAGCAACAAGCCTGCCCGAGAGCCACAGAGGAAGCCATGCTCTCCCAGCACCCCGGGGCTGTTGCTTGCTGCCAGCCAACTCCAATCTATAGGGATGGCTGATGCACTGAGTGTGCCCCCCAGACCCCCCAGTTCTGCAGCCCTACAAACTGACCTGTCCTGCAAGAGGAGCCCAGGGAGCAGCACATTGTTCCACAGCTGCACGACTCAGGCTAGGGCACAAAGAATGACACTAGCCTCGGGGACAAGCTCAGAGCCATTTCCACTTGAAAAGGGAAAAGGATAGTGGTTTAAAATTAACTGCGGCCTTTTCCAGGAAATATCAGTGGAAAGAAGCAGCCATTTTTAGAAATGTTATTCTCAGAAATTTCCTGAAAAGACCCATCAGTCAAAACACAGATTGAAGCCATTTCCACTTGCACTGAACAGCACTTCAGAGCTCAATGTGCTTGGGGTGCTGACCCTGGCGGCGGGGCCAGGACCTTGGGTTGCACCCTGCAGCCCGGTGAGGCTGCAGAGTCACTTCTGGATATGCACCATCCTGTGCAGGGTCAGAAACAGCCCAAATGTGCACAGCTCCTGAACAGCTCCTAAGAAAGTGTGTTAATCCAGGTTGGCATGGCAGTACGGCTCCAGACCAGCCTGGCTATCTTGCTGCAGGATGCATGAGCAGAATGGGGCCGAAGTGGTTTGAAGGGCAAAAGGGGACAAGACACGAGCAGGGCTGTGCACAGAGTACATCTGAACAAATCGGGGCACCCTGTGAGGGTACACCAAAAGGAGAACAAACACGGACACTAGAAGCATAAAAAGGAACGA